AATGGGGATCCTTAGATTCTAACACCATATATAGTGTAGGAAGTTGCTATCTCGCAAGTAATCTCATGGTTTTCCGAAGATCATACGACGTAGCGACAAGCTACATGTGATTTATCTATGTGGCTAACACAAGCAAGCATCAATTACCAAATTATGGAAAGGTAAACATGTAAAGGTGGTGACTCTAATAAAATCACATCCCAGAGAATGAATGGCTGAATCGATTATACCAACTACGTTCTGTATCAATAGGAGTGAATAATGCTCCAAGAGAGTTAAATAACAACAGCTAGTGATATTAGGAAAAAAAAGCACCATAAAACAATTAGGAGAAACCATACCTTCACTAGCAAGTTGTGTAAACCTTCCACTGACGGCAATTCCATTCCCAATCTTCTTTGGAGGTGAAACAAATGAACTTATGATAAAATCAATAAATTTCTGCGAATGAAGCAGACTTTAAATTAGGCAACCACAACAAAATAGTGGGAAAAATGAGCTTTGTTTATGATTCATATAGCTTCCAATACATGGAATTGAAGAAAACGTAAAAAAGGGAACCTACATATACCTTGGCCTCTTCAAAGGTTGACATATAACCAAACGAAACCCTAACAGCTCCTGTTGGCTTTCCATTAATCACATCATTGTCATCCCAGCAAATATGCCCAGCCTGGGTTTAAATCAAAGGATGTCATGGTCAACTATATAATACCAGATCTGCTAAACCAAGGCCAGAAAAACGAATGATAAGCACACAAGATAAAAGAACAATTATACCTCTACATTAGACAATAGATCAGAATGAGACAAGCCAAGATACTTTGCACATGCGCCGGGATTGCAAAAGCATCCTGTCTACACCGAAATGAAGTAAATTACAGATAGCATTCAGCGTCATATAACCTAATGCAATATTACGCCTTGCAAAAGCCTCATCTTACTTAAGTAACTTATCTTCTCTTCTGTTCTCATTTGGGTGGAAGAATTCAAAGAGGAGAAAACTGAACTGTGTTTCCAAAACATACCCGTAACTGAATCCCAGATAAAGAAGCAAGCTTTTCCACCTCCAGGTAGCCAAACCAAGAGCCATCAGGTCTCTTCAAGTTGAATGTAACCGTTGGGCCAGATTTATGTGATAATAACTGTAACATAAAACTTAGGATGAATCAAATACTACGGTCACGAAGAAGTAATTCCAAATGACTTTTGAAGTAAATGATGATATTTTTAAATGCAAGGATTGATGCGTGTTTCCTTCTTATGCTCATTGCTTTCCTTTTTGTTGAAGCATATTTTTCACTTAATAAATGAAGCCATATAATAAATGAGTTATGCGAAACAAAAAATACCTATATCTTCATCATGTATGAAAGAACTTACCTTCAGATTTTCACTACCATACAGAACACATACAACAGCCCCGTCTCCATGTCTTAAAGCCAGCAATTTCTTCTTCAAATACATGGAAAGTGATGTTGTGTGCCTAGGAAGTAGAAACAGAACATGTTTTAGCTTCTAAACTAGCAGAAAGTTTGGAGGGAACTTTTTAACTTCAGCAAATTTCAAGCAATGATTAACGAGGATCAACGTAGTATGAGTCTTCAAAAAAGAAAGGCCCTACTAGATGATCTTCTAGGAAGAATTTAGAGTGATTTTCAAGACTAGTGATTCATCACAGAGCACAAGTTCTACTCACATCCAAATTGCGGAAGTAGTAAGGGACTTGAGTAATTTGAAGCCATGGCGGATGGCTGCTATGCTCAAGAATGAAGCAGAGCCATCCTCAAAAAAATCCTCTATCCTTTCCCTTCTTTTTACAAAGTCAATGTCAGCAATTGAAGCAGCAACAGTGCCTGTACACATTATATTAATTAGATGCCACACAAACTCAACCATCTTACACAACCAAATGAGATGCATACCTCCACTAAAGTAAGTCTTCTTGAGCAATTTGGCAGCATCTGTAGATTACAATAGCAAGAAAAATATCATGTCCGAACTGCTCTGATCTGTGTTACGAATTTCATGAAATTTGTTCTGAACTACTGTCCCATTTATGAAGATATACAGAAGGAGATGAACCTCAGAAACAATTACGCACCATTCCGTACAAGGAGAGCACCAAGCCCAGTAGGATAACCAAATAACTTCATGGAAACAGCAAAAACAAGAAAGTCAAAATATGATAACAAAAGAGCTTCCTCGTTTATATTTAGAAATAACTGTAGCTACCTTGTAGAATGACACAACAACAAAATCTGCAGGATACTCCGATAAATTAGGTGGTAGTGTAGAACAGCCTTTGGCAGCATCAATCAAGACCATCCACCGCTTGCTCCTTATAACAAGGACATAAGGCATGATGAAAGTCAAAATAATAGAAAATCAATCATAAGAACCAAGTCCGAGACACACTTGAAACAAATAAAGCCAAACTAGTTCCTTCAAAAGTTTCAAACTGGTTTTAGGCTTGTATTATTAAAAGTTGTAAATCATCAATATGCACACATTTCATATCTAGACATCACCATATCAACCGCAGATAAATTGTATTATATATGGTTGATTACTATACCACCTCTCCTGCTCTAAGGCTAAATCTAACTCACACTAAAGGATCAGGTACGAGAAAATTCACTAAGCCCAAGGAGCTGGATTCTCCTCGGATTAACATCGTCAAACCTCAGCAATATGAATACAAACAGAAATTCAGCATTACCAATGCAAGACACTAGGGAAAGTAAGAGATGAAGAGAGAATGTAAGACGATACATACATGCCAAAGGGAGAGCCTTGTAGCGTAGTTTCAGTACTTTCTTTAATCAACTTCACCAGATCTAGGTTGAATCTCAAGCCGGTAAAATTACACTCTGAGGGGAAAGCAAATAGATTATAGGCATCTCCTGTAAACATACGAGACAATATAACACATGATAAGCAAACCCACAAAATTGATGATTTACCCAAAGTACAAGAAGATGGCATGCGCTACATCTTGAACAGACTTTATTCATGATGAAAGAATAAAGAGAAAAATCCCAAGCTAACGGACCTCTTGTCTCTTCCTTTTGGAGTTTAGAAGTGTTTCTCATCTGCACAGCACGATGTTTTACCTTGATAAATGGTCCTGAACTCGCTTGCTGACCGGGCTGGTTAGCTGCCTCTTCAACATCCACTGCACATGCTGAAGCACCTTGACCTAATGCATATTCCCTAATTCCAAGTACACTGTTGTGATTCTCCATGGTATACAAAAAATTGCTGTCTTGGGTCCACGGAAATGACTCTCCGACAAGCTTCAGTGCTGCTGTGGCTCCGGAAGTGAATATGCAACTGTACTCTTCAGGGGATGCATTGAAGTATTCAAGTACCTGACTCCAGTGTGAAATGCAGATTGATTAAAACATAGAGAACCAACTTCTAAGAATACCATTACACATATCAGTTCAAGAAATGTTAAGAATGTACTACCTGATGCCGAGCATCCGCTATAAGGTCACTGGTCGCTGAACTGATATCACTTTGACTGTCTATATCATTATTAAGGAAACCCCTTACAGCAGCAGAAGCTCACAAAAAAAAAAAAAAGCATATATATATTAAACCGTCCGTACTAACAAGATCTACAGAAGAGGCTAACATCGTTCTTTCTGACCAATAAACATTGAACTTTCACATCTTCAAGTCACAAACTTAGCACAGGAATATACAATCTAAGAATCGGACCCTAATAGATCTGCCGTCTAGTAAAACATGTCTTATGAGGTGCAAAAGATCAGGATACGTGGATTTCCATAAACATTACTTGTGAAGTCCTTAAATATATTTTCCATCTGCAACTCAGAATACAAAGTAGAGCCAGCATGATCCAAGTATACAACACCTGCACATACCACACATGAGCTTATAAGTTCAATCTTAAGGATGTACAACAGCTTAATAAATCATCAATAAAAGGAAAATTCTAAAATCCGTGTGGATACTACTAACCATTCTTTTGCACAAATTCACTCCATAAAATAATCATTAACACACTTTGATCCACTCTGAGCAAAACATCTGAATTGTGATCACCACCGGTCTTAAGACTCCAAACCCAGACTTAAATCTCGTCGATTACATACATAACCTAAGTTTTATCGACTAATGCCGAATTTCCATCAATTTCAATTCATTTCGAAACTCTCGGTTAGCTGTTACTCCACGGACCCAACCCAACAGTTTTTCTTAGAAACTTCATAAATTTCTGCTTAAAAGCTTAGGTTCCTGAGCTCTATTGAGATGCGAGAGAGATACTCATACACGATTCGAGGGGCGGGGGGGGGAACGAGAAGTGAAGAACATACCTTCGTCTAATCTCTTGAATTCGGTCTCGCGGATCTCTTTGATGTTCTTCGGGCCATCTGGGTAACCATAGTAATCTCCGAATTCCTTGAGAAATTCTTCCATGGCGATCATTTTCCAGATCAAACGAAAGAAAATTCTCTCACTTTCTCTGTTTAATCTGAGAAAAATCGCCGACGTAAAAAGACGACGGTGATTCCCGGTTTTTTTAAAAGAAAATACATTTTGCTTTTTTCACGTAAATAAGCATTATATTTTGTATTTTATCATATAAAAGGAAATTAAAAAGCCTATTAACTCGTAGCCCAGAAAAAAAAAACCCATTAACATTGAACTGTTGAAAAATGAATTTAGGCGGGCATAAAA